GCATTTTGAGCCCCAGACCTCTGTGAATGTTAATAAATTATTTGTTAGAGATCCTTTCTCCTTCCTCCCACTCCCCCAGTACATATTAACTTATTCTTTCTGTAGGACAAGTTTCTGCAGGCTCTGCTCCTGCTCTCCTCTAGGCAATCTGCACAGAGCACGCCCCTCTTTTGCCAGTCTTGCTATGGCAATCTTAACCTTCTGGCAGAAATTCCCTTCAATGACCCCCAGGTCACCTAAAATCCTGCGTCAGACTTATTTTGATCATTCGAGAACAAAGGAAGGGATTCATAGGCCACAGTGACCCTTAACAAGGGGCAGAATTTCACCCCGGAGTGATGGGAGGGGATACAGAAAGTTCCTGAATTTGTTGCCAGTATCTGAGCTGTGGAATTGGATGAGGGAAAGAGGAACGTCCACAATGCGAGCACGCACCATGCAGAGGTTTACATAACCCAATTTCAGCAGGAATGTTTCCATAAGACTTATGCTACAAATCCCCATTTGGGGGATTTAAAACATTCCCCCGCCAGGTTTATAATCCAAGCACTGCACAAGAAAAACAGGAAAAAATCTGACCATAGGCAGGCCTGTGTAATGTTCTCAACCAGTCTGAGTGGAAAAGCCAACAGAAAGGTAAACAAAGAGAAAAGTGATTCACTCGATCTGACTTTGCAAGTCAGCATATGCTGGAACTCCTGCTTCCTGCCTCACAGCCACATGCACCATCCATGTTGTTCAGGATTGCCCAGCAAAAGCTGCTTCCCTAGAAGGACACATAAAACTGTTCTATAGATCTCTGCTGGCATTTATAAGAAAGGCTTCTACCATTTAGTCATTTATTACCTTTCTTAAAAGGTTTCACAGCATTCTCCACAAGAAATACAAGCAGATCTGATGTTTTTCTGCGTTCAGAAGGCATAAACAACACTGTCATTCTGCTATGAGGATTTGTTACAGACTGATCCAGATGCACGTGGTCCTCTGTTCTACCATCAGAAGCTGTCAGCTAAAGAAACTGCAGTCACACCAGCCTGAGTTCACGAGAGTACTTTCTTTCAGCATCAGAACTTCAGGAACAAAATTATCATAAAAATTTCATGGCATTACAAATGGCGAAAATCCTTTTGATTTTTAGAACAAAGTAGCTTCTACAGTTCAAACCTTTCTTCCAGAAAAGCATTTTCTCCTCTCCCTGCAGATACTAGCTCAATAGCTCCCCTGGCTCCAACCCACTCTTAGAATGGTGCTTTACCATCTGTATCAAACCATGAGTTTGCCTACATTAAATTACATTCTCCCTTTTCACCCCAGTACTTAATCACATTCTAAGGTTCGATCTGATGGAAAAGAACAGCATATTGGTCGCAGCAGATAATCAAGTTATTCCACAAGATCCAGAAGTAGAGGTCTGAGTCCACTTGCACTGAAACCTTCCAGTTTCACATCACATTGACCGTGTGTCAAAGGTTGTTACGTATCCACAGAGATAAATTCATTTCCATTCATTTCCAAGGAAGTGCCCCACGCTGTGTTGCAGCATTGCAATTGCATCTCAGGGCTGGTTGAATGACAAGGGCTTTCCCATCCATATCATTCTCTATTAATAACTGCATTTGAGTCTTCAAAGCAGTTACACTGCAACATCGGGAACTTGCTATTGTCATAAGCACCCTTTATAAACCACATTTAACATGCAATTTCTAACAACCCATCTGACAAACACCACCCGCTCTCATTTGTGGGATACCCGAGGAAGTGGGCTCTCAACATGGACGTTCTTTTAAAGAAAATAGCAAATGTCTGAACTGCAAAGACTTTCTGCAGGTAGTTACCGGGCTGTGACTATTAGCACACTCTGCAGACACAACAGCAACTCAAAGTATTCAAACTGCTTCTCAGAATGAGCTTTGGTCAGTTGCCTTAGCAGTTCAGACAGATAAGAATAGCAGCAACTCTCATGCTTCATATACCTATGAAAAACTGAAGTTTGAATGATTGATTAGACAGTTCTTTTATCATTTGCTCTCCATGCATTAGTTTTTTTTTTTTTTTTCCTTTTAATCAAAACATAGCAGATATGTATTTCTTTTGTTGAAATAACAGAAACACAAAGGAAAATTGTATTTGCTCTGCAAATAAAGTGTTTCACTTTATTTATTGGTTGTGGAAGAAAGCTAAATTGACATTCACTAAATATTCCTGCCCTGAACCTATTTCTCAGAGTAACTGAAGGAATATGATCAGAATCAAACTAAAAGGGCATACTACAAAACTTACCTGCAAGTATTTTTATGCAACTACATTCATTCATTCCAAACCCCAGTTTTAGTAATTAGTCTGCAATCGAGGTAATTACAGATGATCAAATACTACTCCTCCAGCACTGAAAGAGAATCAAAACAGACTAAGCAGTCCATTCACACTTCTCACATTCAGACAGCCCCTCATCAGCTTCTGTGCCAGAAACAGAGCTACAGATCACGTGCAGGGCTAAGGCAATGGAACACAGAAAGCATTCCCTTAAGTGGGTTTATTTGGTACTATTTTCGTTGATGTTTTACAGATACGTTATCATTGCTGGTACTCAGTGACACTTCAAGATCTAAATAAGCACATACTGTCTTCTAACAGGTCAGACTACACACTTCAGAGTCAGTAAGCGAATCTGCCAGGGCACGCAGCCTCCTCTGCCATTCCCTGCTGTAGGGCCAGGCTAAGTGAGAAGGAGCAGCAGTGAGCCATCTGTACAGAATTGCCTGCTGCAGCACAGCCAAGCATTCTCCAAGTGAGGATTTGAAGCATTATTTCATAGCAAAATGCACATGGGGTTTAGTACCACTCTTCAATTACTCCCAGTGTTTCCTACCACACAAATCTCATCTTCTGAGGGGGTACCAGGTTAAATGTATGGGATTGCAGTCTTTTAAAGAAGTAATAGGGCATATGTGAAATGAGGTGGCTAAGGAGGACTGAGGTCCCATTGTTACCTCAGGAGAAGGGAAAGCTGACAACTGTGCTTGAGAAAATCCACTATGGAAAACTGCACTGTAAACAGTTTGATAGCTTTCCTGCTCTTGAAATAATATGTTAAACAGCACCCTGATGACCTAAAGTTAGCTAAAGTTAATAGATACCTTCCTCTTATTTCCATTATGATTTATGTAAAGTTCAGAAACAAGTAGATCAGTAGCAAGGCTCATGTGACCTTAACCAGATGTTAAGAAAACAGAACTCAAGCTCTGTTTAGCTTAACTCATCCCCTTTGCAAAGGCAGAGAGGAGTACGTGTTGCCAAGAGATAAGGAAGAGCAACGCCTGGGTGTGTATTTCTCTGTACATTGCCTGCACGAGTGTCCTACTGGCAGATATGACCCTGAGCAGCGTACACTAATGTGCTTCAAGGGGCTGAACTGAAGGCTCAGGGGCAACGAAGAACCAGTGGGTGGATTGCCATGGAGTAAACCTGATAGATTATTGAAGAAACGCCTGTTTGGTTTATTAGGGTGTAAACATTCCTCCAGCAGATACTTCCAAAATAACATGCCTCTCCCCAGCCATGACAAACCAAGAGTGCCTTCCAGATATGATTGTTATGAGTTGGCTGGAAGTTCACAGACATCTCCATAAACGTTTTATAAACCAGGTATCAGCTACTACTTGCTCACAGACATGTTTTTGAAGTAGCCCTGAACAGAGCATAAGAACCATTCAGATTTATCTGAAGAGTGAGACACTCCACAAGGCTTCTGCTACTACTGCTCAGTTGTTTCCTTTTTGTTTCCTCCACCAGCCAGAAAAAGTTGGGATAATTCCAGCAAGCTTCTGCAGTTTTAGCTTTGTTGTCCCAGCTACAGACCCTGAATCAACTTGTTCCAAGGTGCAATTTGGCTATCCTTTCCTTGCAGTCTCATTATTTCACAGTGATATACTTTTTTCCCCCATGGACCACAGAGGGAGGTCTTTTCCCCCCCACCTTCCTCGGCTTTGGCTCTTTAACTTAAGTCCCAACAGTTTATTACACACTAACACATTGCTAAACCACAGTCTAGCACTAGATAATGTTTTCCTGCAAGTTCCTGAAGTCTTCCTGAAGAAGAGAGGTGCTCCAACCAAAGAAGACAGCAGACAGGGAAATTGAGGGTAGGATGCTTTCACTGTTTGAGTATTGGGTAACTACAACTGTGAATTCCATCAGTTACAGAACTCTCAGTCACCATTTAATTAGCAAACTCCAGAGAAAGGTGGAAGTATAGCCAAATCTAGTTAGGCATGTCTGTGTCCAGGCCAAGTCCCTGGAGGGAAAAGCAAGCAAAGAGTGCATGCAGTTGAGCATGCAGTGCTGATTTATTCAGCTCACTTTAAAAAACAAAGTAAAACAGCAAGCCCATCTCCTCCATGCTGGCTCTATCACTTTTTGTGCTGGTTCTTCAAGAGGAAAATTCAATTTTTAACAGAAATTGGTCTTTAGTCTGACAAAAGGAAGTGTACTGTTCTGAACTGCAATCAGGAGCAATCATTTCAAACTCACCCAGGATGATTTAGGATCATTGTGCAACGTTCTTCAGAAGGGTGTGTGCTGCACCAAGTAGCTCACAGCCTGAACATCAGCATGGTGGCCTGTGCACAGGGAAGTAACTTCTCTACTCAGCAAGGACAATGGGAAATTCATAAAGTGATATTTTAGGGTTTGTCAACATACAGACTCCTTAACATCTCAAGTATCAGCAGCAGGTCCCCACCTTCAAAGAGCGAAGGGGCAAAATATTGGCACCTGTACAAGCAAATGGGAAGTTAGCCACAAAGAATGAGACAAGGAACAAAGCACCTTCCACCCCAAGCAGTGGTCTGGAGCTGCCTTAGAGATGTGACTCAGCTCCTGTAATGCCACAATAAATAGAAAAAAAAAATTAATAACTGTGAAGATGATATCAGAGGGTCAATTTTCAGAAATCACCAAAACTCATGCAATGTATTTATCACAAAAGCAGATGCCCTCAATTGTATTTCAACAATAGGTTTATTTTAAGAAACATAACATGACATTAAGTAAAAATGCAAAATTGTGCAATTATGGCAAAATGTTTAAAAATCCACACATTTGCCCTCATAGGACTACAGTACTTCTTACTAACATACCTGAGCACTGAATGTTGGGTGCCATTTCTAAACAGCTTTACAAACAGGGAGCTCATCACTTTCTTGTAGAACATACAAACACTGCATGTTTGGTGCACCAGAATTGCTTTTAGTTATCCTAAATTTTACTGGAAGAATCAAGCAGAAATTACAAAACACTTCCTTCTAAAGTAATCAGTAATTTTGGAAAAGATTTACCCCTCTGTAAATCCTTACAAGAAATTAATTTCAGAAAAGGGAACAAATGAATGCAGAAAAAGTTACTAGATGGGGAGAAAACATACAGGTTACTGTTTAAATTTTAGCAGTACCTTTGGTGCAATTATTTTTTCCTGTGCTGTGCAAGGTTACTTAAGCTCGACTCTAAAGCAAAAACTTTACCAGGAATCTGACTTTCAGCAAAATGGAGAAGCATTTAAGAATTGGCAAAGTCTCACAGCTATATTACCATCTCAACAAACTCCTCATGCAAAAGATTCCATATATTCTACTCCCACAGCAAGTTCCAGGGTTCAGCTTTGAAACACATTACAGGCTTGGATCACACCCTCAGTTTGAATGGTTAAACAGAATGGAGATCTTCGTACTTTAGTGCAGATAAACAAAATTAACAAACCTACTGCAGAATTAACCACAGCATATTGTACTTCTATACATCACATGACCAGTCAATCGCTAACTCAATTCTATTTCATAGTTTCAAGTAATATATTGAAATTTTTTCTACTAAATAAATATAGAAGATTGTCAAAAAGCAGCAAGAAGTCTCGTAAATATTCAACCAAGCTTAAAAAAAAAATAATAATAAAGGAAAGTTATTAACACTTTGCAAAAGAATGGTTTTACACACAAATGCAACACTGTTAGGGAGGGTGCTTCAGAAAGCTTGCAGCTAGAGGCCTACAACAGCGCAAAGAGAGCCAAGGACTAAGGATAACCTTAAAAATGAAATTAGCTGTACTAAAAAGAAAGCTCTTACTCTTGGCTATGGATATATATAAAACAGTATCCAGAAGAAAACTAAATAAAGAAACAACACGCCTCAACACTGTTGTAAAATGCAGTCTTAGCAAGCATCAGCTTTACTTCAGAAAAAAAAAAATCCGGCGCTTGCATCTGAAAGAAGCAGTTTGGTAAATCTCTGAAGATGAGGTATGTAATGCAAAGAGGCTTTTTTTTTTTTTTTTTTCCTTTTCATTTCACAGTTTTGTTTTTGTCTTTTTAACATTTTGTGCAAGAATTGAGAAATAGATCCAGGCCAGTATCTGTAAATCAGAAAGATTTCATTCGGGAACATAAAGACCACATGGCAAGTGAACATTATCCAAATCCTCAGCCATGCCAGGGGGATAAACATTAGTGAGGTCACTATTTGGCTTACTGAAATATCAGCTGTTAAGCCAGATAACAGTAAGAACTTAGAGCCAGTGATGGCCACTGCCATTTCAAGTTAGTTGGTTTATTCCTTCAGTAGATTTGAGAAATAGGAAAGAGTAAAATAGCTCACACCTGTTGCTCTGGAAAAACTAGACCTGCAGCAAACCAAACGTGGCAAGTTACAGCTGCTAAGGTTTTTAGGATTCCTCTTTTCCCTTTCATGTCAAGTTTCCACTATTGAAGAAGAACTTGGAAATTTTTTTACTTCTGGAAAAGTAAGCTACATGTTTAATACATAGAGAAAAGTGTTGCAATACATTGGATTCCTATTCTAGATTAGCATCTAATATTATTTAAGCCATGGACACTTGTTATCAATTTTGCTTTAATACACTGAATAACGAAGACAGCTCAGTAGTGCAAAATTTTCACATTATAGATCAGAATGAAACAAAGTATTTGAGGGCTCAATCACAGGGAGAAAAAATATAACTTGTCAAGTTAAGCCACACATTTTAAAGTTACTGGAGCACATGCTAACACTGCACACAGCACTGTACTTTAGTGGAGACAAAATGAACACTCCACAAAAAAAAAAGTCAATATTAAGGCCATATCCTGTCACCATCCTGTGCAAGAATATCACTACAGTAAAAATGTTATGTTAGAAAAGACAATATAATGACAGAACAGGGCCTGGAAACAGACACTCAATGAAAACTAACAGGCTGTCTTAAACAGCAGCGTAACATTAGCCCATTTCAGACAAACAAGTATTAAAAATGTACTAGCACCATCAACTTTTGGATTAAAGCCCTTTATGGGATGAAAAAAAGTTTTAAAGCAGTGTTATAAATATTTTTACAGCACTACACCTAACCGGCAGTAAATAGGTGTTGGGATTTGTTTTCCATATCTTTTAAGCTCAAATTTCAACAAAAATCCATGGACAAGAAGTGGCACAGCAATCTGAACAGGCCTCCTTCCAGGCAAAGGTACTCCATGTTCCAATTCTGACTTGAGTTTGTCCTCCCAAACTGTAGTGCACAAACAACAACACAAAACATCTTTGCAGACTTCAAAAACAGTACAAAAAAAAAAAAAAAGATCATTATGAATCAGGATCTATCATTCCTCTATGCAATTTTAATTTCAAATGAAAAAAAAAAAAGCCAAAAAAACCAAACAACTTAGTGATATTGCCTCAAATTTTACCCGTATTTAAAAAAAAAAAAAGGAAAAATGAAAAGTCACTCCAAAACAGCTTGGACATCCTTAGCTATTAATGCTAGATTTCTTTCACTGTAGTGCATAGTTATCCTGACTCTTCCACTTAACTTGCTCTTACCACAAATACATCTTCGAGTATGACATGATTAAGTGTTTACCAGAAAAAAAATGCTGATAATTGCACTTCGTAACCTCCTTCTCATTTCCCAGGAAAATATCAGTAAATATGAAACTGAACCAGTAATACCCTTCACAGACTGCAACCTTTAAAGAGCACCCATCCCCACATACAAAAAAGAAAACAAACCTGTCTGTTTCAGCTTACAATAAATACTGACAATTTCTTTGTTTTAAGACGTTTTCTCTAGCATCGGATCACCACTGAAATCACTAAGGCCTGTTACTGAAAAAAGAAAATTAAATAACTTTCTGAAGACACTGTGGATACAACTTAGCAACTACACATTCAAAATGCCGGCCTAAATCCCAGAGCCTATCTGGAGTCTCATATACTTTTTGCCATTGGTCAGTGACCTCATCATACTGATAGAGAGAATTCTTCCTGCTGGTTCTGAAAACGTGCTCTTCAACAGTGACTTGAGTAGCTCTGACAAACAGGTGGAGTTTGTTTTTGAGGAGTACAAGTTTTATGTATGGATTAATGGATTGATCACACGGGAAGTCTTTCTTTCGAGTCCACTTATTTTGTTCAATGTCATAGGCCTCTACGGTAAACATACGTTGATGGTTTCCACAGGTTCCAGCTATGTAGTAGATGGAGTCATTGTACACAGTTGCCAAGCCTTGGATTCTAGGCACAGTCATTGGAGTCAAAAACCCCCAATAATCCTTCTGAGGATCATAGCAGAGAAAAAATTCCCCTGGAAAGAGAGGAAAAATAAAACACAACTTATGCTTTATTTCCATAACAGCAATTCTGCAGCTATTAAGTTTACAGTTATATTCTTCCATGTATTAATGTCTACAAACTCTTAAAAGCCCCAGTCCTAGAACAAAAATCCAACATTGTCTGCTTTCTTCAAAACTCACAGAAATACTAGCAGCAAAAGCAAAAGCTACTCTGGGTTTCTATCCTAGCTGAAGAAAACCAAATTTGAAGTATACCACAAACACTGTGGTGGAATGCATATTTCCCACCTATTCTTTACTACTTTTAAACCATGCTTAAGAACTTGGGATAAAGCCTGTCCAAATTCCAGCCTTCAAGCATCCAAAGTATTTATTCTGTTCTCTGTTATCTGTTATCTTCATAAAGTGTAACCTACAGAAAAAAATCTCAGAATTCAGTACTTTAAAGTTGTTAAATCCGAGCAAATAATGTGTCCTGCACTACAGACTATGAAGCTGTTTGTATCACTTGGCTGGGTTATACAGGTTGACTGGGTTTCAAAGGATGCCAGGTGAATACTTGCATGAAGCTGTGATTCATCATTAGTTTTGTGCCTGGACTATAAGGCATTTCTTCTGTTGACTGCACAGAGCAGCTTATGCAGACTGTAGATAGCAGAAGCTCAGATGACAGAAAGCTCATGCTCTGCAAACTTGGTAAGAAGAACATGGATAAAGATTACCTTGTCTTTTATGAAGCTCTGGGAACAAAGGGCTACAATTTGCCAAATATTAGCACAATTCAACTTCATGCCTATTTTACATGGATATTTTAAAGAATTTTAACTAGGCTGCACTCTAACCAAGCTCTTCAAATGTGACAAAGAATACAGACATAATACAATAAAAAGAATGGAATGCAGCTTAAGACATTAAGTCCTACAGGTAATGCATTTTCTGATTACTCACTTGTGTTCCATTGTGTAATCTCCTATGACTGATGCCTGCAACCGAGCTGGCATTTTAAGACTCATTAATCCTTACTGACTACTTCAAACTTATGAGTTTTCTCTACAAAAATTATTAATAGTTAACTTATTATAGACTATTAGAGTGCAATTCAGTCAAGGTTTTCACCTATCACACAAATAGGAAAGTTACTCATTTTCTGCAACACGGATTATTTAATTTGCTGGTTAGTGCAATGACGTGGTTTATTTATGCAAGCATTGAGTTGTCATTAAAACCACTGAAGCACAGAACTATTGAAACTAAGATGTGTAAACAAGATGCATTCTTATTCTATAAGTCGTAATGTCTCTCTAAAAATTATCTACTTTATAGTGCTTGCAAGAAACATTTAAAGGACAAACACATATTCTAGGTTGAAGACTCCTCAGTGTTCCTCTTCAATGATCTAAAGAGGATGTCTGACCCAACAGACTGAGAAAACTAGCAACAGTAACAACTATTTAGAGCCACAACGGGATCAGATGTAATACGGATACGATGAAAGAACAAAACCATCTATAGGTCTTGTGGAAGCCCTCCAACCTTGCTGAGTGGCAGGAGTGCAACGTCAAGAAGTCAGGTTGACTTCTGATAAATCACAGTGAGTTTACAGATCTAGGACCCAAGTTCTGAAAGTGTGTGCACAGGAATGCACCTTAGCAAAATAAAACTAAGATACTCCCCTGTCCAATCTTTCTTTCCACTTGGAAGTCTTACTACAACCTCATATACAGCCTCAGCAGTTTTAAGCTTAGAGTGCAACAGGGTCAAGTACGTACAAAATTATGCATTTCATGTAAGCTACATAAACAAAGTAAGAAAGGGAAGAATAAATGATTTCATCCATTCCCATAACAATCCTTTTTGGAGTCCTAAAATATAATTACCAGTCTAAAAGAACTGCAAACATCTTTTCTGTCACACCACTTTCATCTGCATCTTGGCAATAAATCATTCAGGACATGCTTTTTTTTAATCCTTATTGATTATTCTGATGTACCTCTCAAATATGGATATAAACACTGCTGGTACTAGAACTGTGCTTAAATCATTAAGTTAAGCATCAAAATGCAACAAGCTTGATCACTTATTGGAAGATGGGATGGAAAGACCACACTGTAATTCCCAACCAAATGAAACAAGCTAATTAGAAAAAGATCAAGCACCTTCCTTAATTAGCTAAAAAGCTAACTAACAAAAAGCAGGGTGGGACAGAAGGAAGGCCTACCATGGCTAATTCATTTTTTAGAACTCACTAAGAGACTCCAGGCATTTTCACAGGTTCAGCTAAATAAAATGTAAAATACTTTTTCATGACAACAGCTGTTCTTCAACATTAGTGCATTTCACCCAAATAAAAGATGTAATACAGAATTTCCACCGTACAACTTAATACTGAATTGTTAGCAGAAACAGCAGTTGTGGCAGGATTTGATACAACTCAGTGACACATGCCCAGGGCCCAAACACTCAAGCAGTAACTTCATGCTTCCTTGCTCACTGCCCTCCCCATTCTACTGTCCTGGGCATTCTTTAGATGTCCCAGAAACTTGGGCTTTCTAAGGTGCTTTTAAGAGACAGTTGGCTTGAACAACCCCCACTTCCAGTAGAACACCATAAAGCCAGTCAAACCGCCTTACCCTGTAAAACATAGATGTTATCCTTATATTCCACAGCACTATGAAACTCCATCGCTACCGGCATTGGACAGACAGCCGTCCAACAGTTCTCTCTGCTGTCATAACACTCCACAGACTTGAGAGAGTTTCGCCCATCTCCTTCATAAACACGACCACCTATTGCATACAGTTTACCACAGCAATGAACCAATTTGCAGCCTATTCTGGCTCGCAACAAAGGAGCTTTCGGAATCCACCTATTGCCAGAGTGATCGTACATCCAGAAATCACTCTCTGCTCTGTGATCAATGGAGACCTCGCTGCTGCTTGGTCTGTAACCACCCGCAATATAAATATCATTATCAGGAGATACAAGAATTCCAACCTCCCTCAAGTCATTTGGTGGCTTGCATAGTTTAAACACTCTCCCTGTGACCGAATCTAAACAAGGCACTGTTTGCTTCTTTCCTGAGTGTTTGTGGGCAGCATCAAAGCATATGATCATTTCAGAAGCAGTCATTCCAAGCCGTTGTGTATAGCCATTGGCACTATGTTGTCCCTTTTGTACACAGCTTTTGGCCATAGCCTGTGCAAACATGGGAGGGATTTTCTCTAAAAATGTCTCTTCCAACAGAGGCATACGGATGCATTTGGCAAATATTTCTGGAAGGTGCACTTCTCTCTTATTTTGTTCATGCTCAAACCACCTTATAATGCTGTCATAAACATGTTCTTCTTTGTCTACATTTAAGTCATCACTGTCGAGTATACTTATGAGCTGGTCTTTTCTCAACTGAAGAAACTCTTGCTCTTTGGTGACACTCAGAAACTTTTTACGAATGTAGTCTTGTGATCTGTCTTTGAGTTCCTGATGACCATAGTGATCAGCAAAGATAAACACCCCAATGGAGTTCTGTGGGTCCAAGTGACTGATCATGTATTTAGCACACTGGTCTTGTATGGAAGGGATCTGGAAGATACTAGCTGCAGTGAACAAAGCTTGAACGTTGGCCTCTGTCAGCATTACTCTGGAGGTATATGCATAGTTCAACACTAAATGCATTGACTCTGCTTCAACACCAACTATACGAACTTCTTTCTGGGTACTCTCTGTAAGGCCGCTAGTGAACATAGATCTACAAAAGAAAAATATTCAGCAGTTTATTTGCAATTACCTTCTAACTACAGATCTAAGAAATTATATGCCATACAGCTAACCCCAGTACAGCTAATCCCAACACCTCTGCCCTTCTATGGGCACAAACGCATTTAACAGTGATGTTACACTGTTCTGCTCGGGAACCTAAACTTAAAATCAGTCCCAGACTTAATAGGTCAAAAATGCTAACTTGGAATTACTTCCTTAATTATCCCACTAATTCCATATAAAAGTTCATTCATTTTAAAAGCAAAGCTCTTGACATATTCAAGTAATCACACTCAACTTTCAACATGTTATTCACATGCATATTCCAGCAGGACAGAATACTTAACTTTAACTATATTGTTACTGTAAAAAGATACTTACTAGGTACACTGTAACATCAATAGTTACATGGAATGTTAGTAAAGGTGTGCTTTTTTTTGGTCATTTAATGAAAATCATTTATAATTCCCCTTTTACTCATCCCTAGATCAACAGACCACTGTACCTGAAATAAGGACTGATTGCAGCAAGAACATTTCTATGACAGGAGAATGTTTTCCCATGATCCACTTCCACTACAATATCTGTCAGTTGTCCTTCATCATACATGGTTTTAAGTTGTTGAAGAATACTGCAAGCATGGAAGGGGTCCATTCCACTGCTGACTGTGTTTGAAGGAGGAATCCCATTCACCGTTTGTGAAAACTTACTTGGTTCTACAAAGCAAAATTGAAACCATTTAAAACAGAAAAAGAGAAAGCACACGTGCAGAACAAATATTTAATGCAAGTTAATACTCCATATGGCCTTACTGTCATCATCCGTTAACAGCAAGTCTAACATTCCCAAGGGTGAGTAAATATATAAGGATATATGGGAGTGGGTTGAGTTTGTTTGCTTGAGCTTTTTTTTTTTCCCCTCCCTAGTTTACTAACTTTAAGAAAAAATACAGAATATTTACATGAATGTCCTACTGGATATCTCTTGGGAGGTGTGTTGGAGGGAAGGAAGCATCATAATGTTTACTGACCTCTAAAATGGGAAGAACAAAGAATGCAGAAGAGTAGGACTAGCCCACAGCCTAAATCACCAGTTCACAAGTCTGTATGAATGTACTTAACTTCACACTGAAACAGGAACCAGCTACTGACTTCCACAAATGATGACTAACAGAGTAAGAGAATGAAGAAACAGCCTTACAGTAAATATATAGAGCAACAAACCTAGAAGATGAATTCACATAAATCTGTATATCTAGTTACATGTTTTTATTTACCAGTGAAATGCAATTACCACTTAAGACTTCCCACGTGTGAAAGTACTTGCATATCATTGTGAAAACAAGCAAAGAGAACACACTCTTAAGTAACATGTGATATGCTTAACCAAGTAAATCCCAAAGTGAAAATTGAGTAATACCTCAAGCACAAAAAAACTGTTTCGTAATAGCAACAAGATTTTTACACAACAACAACAAAGGAGAACTCAAAAGAAAAACATTAGGTGGTAAAAGCTGCAAATCAGGTGATGCTGCTGACCGCAACTGAGAACCTTCAAGAAATGTAGGGCAACCCAAAGGGGAATAAAGGACAGTGAACAACAAGGACTGAGAGACAGAAATTTTAACACATGGCAACACACATGAGCTACAGTTTCTCTTACTCAGACACAGTTTTGAGCACTCTCAATTAAATCAGTGGGGATCTGCTGGTCAGGCACACGTTTTCCTGGTAGGCTTAAGGCCAAATATTGTCAGTGCCTCTTCAAACTACTGTTAGAAGTCCTCAAAACACCTTTCCTCCCCCCTCCCCTCCCCAAATAAGCTAGTAAATACTATATTTAAGGACAAAATCTTCAACTGGGGGATTGATTGCAGTAACTAACCATCAACATTCAAAAAACCAACCAGTCACAGGGAAAGTGGGGAACTCAGACCTCTTTCAGAAGTAAAGTTAGTGATAAACTTCCAAGGAAATACTTGGTACACGGTTGCCAACGTTTCCTACCTGGCCAAACCTTAATGTACAATAAGGCAGCGATACAGCTGCCACTGAAGGGGAGCTTCAGTTACATTCTAACACTGAAAAGGTTCAAAATAGCCCCTCCCTGACCCTGCCAGTCACCCAGGCAATGAGCACATGCGACCAAGGCAGCTTCCAGCACTGATGGAATCAACCAGGAACGCTCACATCCACGTATACGCTTTGCTCTTTAACCCTTAACACCGTGCACCTCACGGATCTCACGCAGCCACTCTCACTCACCACCTCCGTCTCCCTATCACAACAAGCACCTTTTTCTTCTGATATTCTTCCCACTTACACCCCCGTTTTTCCCAGCACCCCCCAGGACTCCCCACGCTCACTCTACACACTTCCACACCACACTCCCCTCCAGATCAGCCCCCCCATCCCTCCCAGCCCCTCCCACTGAGACCCCCTTAAACCCGACTCCCCCAAACCCACATTCTCCCACGCCGCACCCCAACCCCGCAGGCCTTACGGGGCCCACCAGCTCGACCCCCACACCCTACGCCCCGGCAACCTTCCCCAACCGCACCGACCTCCTAACGCTGCCATTCTCGGGGCCCCAGCTCCGGCAGCGGGAGAGGGGGGGGGGGAAAGGGGGAGGGCGGCCCGAGAGGAAACGTCACCTGCGCCGCTTCCTCCGCGCCGCTTCCTCTTCGCTCGCTCCCGCGGAAGCCAACCCCCGCTCCCCGCACCAACCAACAAGAAGCGCGCTGATTGGCGGGACGCCACCGAGGCCTGCCGGGTAATGTAGTGCTGGCGGCGGAAGGAGCACGGCTTCGGCCGCGCGGGGAATGTTGGGACTTGTAGTCCGCAAAAAGCGAATGGGGGCGGCCCGGGCTCTGTTCGTCGCCTAGCAACGAGGAGGCGGGAACTGAAGGGCGGCCATTTTGGGGCCCTCAGGCAGGGTCGTGAGGATGGAGCACGGCCGGGAGGGAGTTCGCTCCCCTTTGGACACTGCACAGAAATGGCCCTTCTGTATAATAATGATTCCAGTCTCTGCTCTGTCAGGCGTTGTGCTGCGTCTCTCCTTTTCACACTGACCTGCAGCTGCTGGCTGCAATTGCCAGCCCTCAAGGGAGAGCAAAGATGGCACCCAGCAGGCAGGGGCATCGGCTGCCATGGTCCCTGCTGTAAAAGCAAAAGATGGCAAGAAAAAAAAAAACAACAAACAGGCAACAAACAAACAAACAAACAAAAACCGACCCAAAGCAAACACAGTATTTGCTGCCTTCCTGATGCCACAAGGGCAGGGCGGAGTGTGGTCACAAGCCCCAGATCTTTCCAGCCTCTTAATTATGAGCAATGCAGAAACTCATGTTTTTTTCTGTCTTTCTGTAATGGTGACCGTGGCACACAGCCAGCCGTGCCCTGCGCAGAACGCAGCTGGGTGACCCCGGCAGACAGACCCCATCTTGTTGCCAGCGCCCTTTCACATCACAAGGCACCTTTCTGCCCCGAAGATGAAGCAGCTGACAGTCACCAGCTTTTTTTTTTTAGCTTTTTTTTTTTTTTTTCTTTTTTTTTGGTGATTGGCCATGACTGGCCGCTGGTTTCAGTTTTGATAACTGAGCCATTACCAGCAGCTTACTGTGGAAGAGGAATAGTGGAAAAATAGTGGAAGCGTTTTGAAGGACTGCGTATTTTTTTTCTGTTATAAATCTAAATAGATGTAATGCAACTTTGTGGTCCAGCTGTTTGCTCAAGGAAAAATAAATGCAAACAAACCCAAACCAATTTAGATAAGATTTTTTAAAGCAATGTTTCCTTTTAGCTCTCAGCAACAATGTGCCACGGGTATATTACAGTGCTCTGATGCAGATGAGTTCAGAAGCAAAAATAACAGTGCTCAGTGTCTTCTGACTGCTTCTTACGTGGTTTTGCTTTCACTTGCCATGGGTTGCTTTGCCCTCGTTTAGCCATTATCAGTGGTGTCCAGGCTGCTGTCAGTAATAATGCAGTACAACACAGGAATGATGGGGGCTCTGATGAAGAAGGTGTGAAAGAAAATAGAACTGCACGTCTGCAAATCGATTCTGCAGTTTTCCAATTTCCCCATTCAGTAATGGCATGGCCTGTGAAATTGTCCCTAGAAGTATAAAACTAGGGGACTCCACTCTTACCTTTTAGCAAATGGCATTGCCTAATGCAGTTCATTTCCTTTGATGTAGACAGTGAGGCTGGGCTGGATTAGAGTTCAAAATGCAGAAGCAAAATGGAAAATGTTTTTTAATATAAATACTGCATTGAAATGGTATATTGGAGTGAAGTATTTCATGAAATAGCTGATCTTTGTAAGGTTCCTGTGAAGAAAATAAATTGCCATACAAACAGGTTTAGCTATTCATTAAGAGGCACTGATATCAATGCTTTCTCTTACTCTGAAATCCTTCTCAGGTACAGTAAATACACTGTCATGCATTCCCCTCTCAGGAAACCTTCATTATCACTCCCTGGCACTAAGAAGATTTTGCACAGTGACACATCCATGGTAACCCAGGGACCAAACTTTGTCACCCAGGTCTGCATACTATTTAACTGGCTTTCTTGGGTGCAAAATTAGAAGCACATTGCCAGTGCGGACTGCTCCAAAATCTGTGGCAATCGTGATGTTAAAGCTAGGCTTTATAAGCAGCGCTTGCATTGCTGTTTATACTCAAATACTATCATCAATGCTTTCAGAAATCACAAGGTTCCAAAAGAAAGGGAGTTCCAGCTCCCTTTGTTTCTGCTGCATTTATTTCTATCTCTCTTCTGTATTTTGCTTGGGAAGCAATACAAGCCCAGGATTTGAGCATAGAACTAGAAGTCAGAACATTGGAATTTTGTCTTAGCACTGACACTAATTTACTAAGTGTCATTGATCAATCATTTGATTTCATGGATTGTGGCCACCCAGAAGACAGTGGGGAGTTGTGAAGCGTTTTAAGATATTTTGACATAAGTTTCTTTATCAACGTTGTAATAATTTTTTATATGGAATTTTGTTTGGTTGACTTTAGATCTTCTGTCCAGCAATCCATTAGAACTCCTGGTATAATTTAAGATGTTGCATGAATACAAAATGTCCTGAAGGTTAAGATACTAGGATACTTTCTTTTATGCTTTCACACCTAATTTATCATTCCTGCAGATACCTCTTGAAAGAATTACAGCTGAAAGTATTTGGAGAAAGTGCTTCCCATTTGATATTCCAAAAATTCAAATGTAAGGATTAAATAATATCGACTGAGAAAATGCAGAATCCAAGTCTGCTTTTTATAAGTGATTAGAAACATTGCCCTCCTTATGAACTCTGAGCTGGCTCTGCTTGTTCTGGGATTCTTGCCTTTGGAATAAAGAATGTCTTTGTCACGAGCCCAAGCAAGAAAAGAAGAAGGAAAAAGTTTCGGGAAAGAATGAACAAAATATACATTTTTTTTTTTTCTTTTTTTCTTCCAGATATTTGAGAACTTAGAAGGGACCAGAAAAAAAAAAAAAAAAAAAAAAGTTTGAACAATGAAGTTATTGAAAAAGTTTCCCTTCTTCATTACATCTGCAGAACAAATTAATTAGAACGTTTTGGTTCATCTACCTTCAATGAAGGGACCAAGAAAACGTCCCATCTTCAGCAAATTTTGGTTTGGGTCATCTGATGTGTCAGTGCTGTACAACAGGAGGTGCAGAAAGCAGGTTTGGAGGATCTAGTTACTGATAGAAAACATCAGATAAGATTTTTCATTTTTTTTTCCCCTGAAGACCAAAACAAAAAAAAGGCAATAAATGCAACCAGCCCAAAATTTAAAGAAAAACGTGAATTCAGACAGCTTTTTTTTAAAAAAACCTGCTTTTATTCATATTAGTATTTCCATTTTGTAGACCTTGTTGAATCTCAGTTTGTAGGAAGTGCAGAACCCTTCTTGCCTTTGTTTTTGGCCCTCCGCAGTGTGGTGGGAGCCATCATGAGAGTAAGGACCTTCCAAATGCACAGCGTACCCCAAACGAGGGGAGCTGGGATTGGCAAAAGCTTGGCAAGGCTTTCACAGCAGCATTTTGAACATTCCTTTTTTTATATTCATGGACCTCCAATTAAAAATTAAAAAAAATAAAGCCAACTCCCAGCAAAATGGTGTAAAATTGTTTAACTATAGAATTGAAATACAGTGCTAGTAGAAATGAACAATATTACTTGCCCTCTTCAAAATATGCCAATTCGAACGTTGACAATTGCTTAGCTATTTGTACAAGTTAATTTGTGCTGTGGATCTGTGAGAAGTAATACACCTGACACAACTGCACTCTGAGAAACTTTCATATTTTAATTGGAAAAATCTCGGTATTCACTGAGGAACAATCTAACCTTGGAAAACAATCTTTTCCCAATTTGTCTTTAATGCATAAAACACTGCTCATTTTCTGCAGCTCTGTCACCGACGGGCACATTAATTTGGTTGCACAATAATTTAATACATCGATGCATTGATTGAAGCAGGGAGTTTTTATTCAGCGGTTCCAAGGAATAACACGTTTCTTGCAAAATCTTTAAAAAGGCTCTTCTTGCTGCAGTTTAAGTAGGGGGAATCACAGATCATGAGGGGAAGTTGCCCTTCAAAGCCAAATGATCGTTCCACGCTGAGCACAGTGGGCATTACATCAGAAGAGAGCGAAGACTGGCAGGAGGCAATTAATGGGGCAGATACTGGAGTGTCTTTTCTGATTACCCCATACTGTACTGTGGATTTGGCCTCTCTGAGACAGGCTGGTAGAAACAAGAACCCTAATGAGATATGGCTCTGCTAATGTCAAGAAGTGCCACTTCCTAGCAGCAGGAGCAACTTTATTGAAACCATCTGTTGTTTTGGAAGATGCATATGCGCGCACACACACTTCCTCCTCCCAGAGTGTTTAACCTTTCTCTTAAGGCTGACTGAAATCGTACAGCTAATCCCTCCTTAATCTCAGAATGACAGGCCCTACTGTTTTCAGCAAGTCCCAGCAGCTACTGAAAACCTGGATGGCTGGCGGTGTTTAAGTGACGTGACAGTGATGCATTCTGAAGCAGTCACTTTGGAACAGAGTACCCATTCATCCACTGTCACTGCAGCTTTGTGAGGCCTGGGTACCTGCACAGAGATGAGAAATCCGTACTGTGCCAGATCTGCTCAGCACGGGGGACAGGAAGGAGATTCTTCAAGTTTGGTCCCAGTGAGACCTCCTCCTCAGCAGAGATAACCCAACAGTTATATCAAAGGAAACAGCCTTGGTTGTGTTACAGCAGACTCAGAATATGACTTGTGCTACAATTTGTCAGTTCTGTAAGCATATTTCTGTGATGCTTCCTCCTTAACATTGCTAGGACCCCAGAGCTTCTGGCAGCTGTTCTACATGGGCAAGCTTCAGCTCCAGCTGCAAGCAGAAAGCATGGCAACTGTAACTGCAACTGTAGGAGACGTGGCAACAGAGAAGAAGTGACTTCTTGATGCTTCATGTCTCCACTATCCACGTTTGCTCCACTGTGTGTGCTTGTAATGAAGTCCTTCAACGGGTGAAGGAGGAGCCCCCCAAAAAACAGTTCAGTGATGGCTTGGCCAGCTCCAGCAATTAAGAGATGGATCTTTATATAGTAATATTAATGTTAAAAATCCAGATGCCACTGAGAACACATTTCAGCTGCAGGAAAGGTGCAGATGCTCCTCAAAGAGTGCAAATGGTTAATTTTTGCTCTCTGCTTTCTCTAAACTGACTTCAAACTCTGCTTCAACTCTCTGCTTCAAAC